TCAAAAATATCTCAGAAACAACCAACAGACTATTACAACCATACAGTATCACTGTAGCACATAAACCAACTAAAGCCCTCCAGAACATCTTAAGTAAACCAAAAGCCCAAGAAGAAAGAACAGGAGTCATCTACAACATACAGTGTAAGGACTGTAACAGCCACTATGTAAGACAGACAGGCAGACAACTAGTAGAGTGCATCCATGAACACCAACTAGCAGTCAGAAGACATGATAAAAAGTCCTTAATCTCACAAGTGGACAGACTCAATCATAGTTTCAACTGGGAATCTGTGAACATCCTAGATCAAGCTAAATCCAAAAATGCTAGGTAATTCCTGGAAGCTTAGCATTCAGACAAATCAGCTATCAATAGACACATAGAGATAAACCACACTTACAAACCATTCAAGAGACAATAAAAAAGCTAAGAAGGAAACAAAAAGACTAGAACACATCCTCTCCAGCAACCAACACCCAGATAAGCAGGGATTAACACGAGACAAACAATCAAGCAGAAAACAATAGCCTAATCAAGGAACTACCAAGGAGAAAAACACACCCCCACCAACACTAGCAGGGCAAGCTACTGTATATAAATAAGGACTAAATCCTGTATACACTCAGTAGCACTGATTATGTTATCTAGTTGGGTAATGAAACATCTGCAAGCAAACAACCAAGCTCAGAGAGCACCAAGGACTCCACATTTCAACCCTGAGCTACATATATTCTCTTCTGTTGGGGCTGTTATAAAGGAGATGGAACAGAACTATTCCATGAGACAGGACTTAAGTACATTTGGTTGGATATTGAGAAGAAATTCAGCTAACAGCTGGTCAGCAATAGAACAGACTGCTTCAGAATGTTAAACAAAGACTGTATAGCTATTATGCCCAGGATGCGGTAGTGATAGTGTCCTGAGCATATGGCTGGACTAAATGATCTCTAAGTTCACTTTTAACTTTCTATGATTATACGAATAACCTCTAAAATATCTGGCAAAGTCATTTTGCATTATTACACACTTAAGAACAGCTTTCAGATAGAAAAAATCACTAAGTCACTCTAACAGAATTATTATTATTAACAACAAAAATGAAAAGCTACAAAGGTTACTAGGTTGCAGACTTAAGAACTATTGTAAATAATGTCAAAACTTAACACCGGAAAATATTTACCATCCATCCCATTGTGCTGTTCATAACTTCTTTTTCCTAAGATAGTTGGAGATCCATTGTTAATCACTGAAGCAAACTTGTAAGGCACACTGTTGAGGGAGCCAGATAAACTCTTAGTAGGATCAGGTTTCAGAGGACAGGGATGAGACTCTGTATGGAAAAAGCATCATGTTAGGCTAATTTTGTAAAAGCCAGTGGTAAACTCATGTATTTACATCTGGAAGAAATCTGAATATTAAGAGCTGCCCAATTTCACGTATCATCTGATCTTCTGCACTGCAGATTCTTTCTTTCTGAATTACCTTTCTTGGCCTGGCATATCTGGTTCATGTGTGTGTCTGTAAACACATGAACACACATGAGATGTGTACATGCACACACATGAGATAAACAGGAAAAAATAACTGAAAGAAAAAGGATTGTCCAGGAGCTCATCGGTCTTACTGCTGAACAATCTATCACCTTCAAAGGGAAAGTCCTAGCCTTGGCCTCCAATGTCAGTCCAGCAGAATGGAGCCTGGCACAGTGACAAAAGCAATAAACAACAACATAAATGCAGCTATCAAATCACTGTGTGATCAGCTGTATTCAATTCACGCTTAGTAAATCATGCTGCTCTTGCTTGTAAAATCTGGGTTATTTGCCTGTTGTCCTCTTGCACATGAGAATGGAGGCAATTTCTTCCACCAGAAATGGTATTTCAGTATACATGCTTGTCAGCTGGGGCTCAAGGAGAATATTTTGAATCCAAGACTGTCCAATTTTATGCCTTCATCTATAAATTGGTGAGGAGCTGACTGGAGCGCCTCCACTGTAATAGAACTAGGCAGTAAATGTTGGAATAAGATCTGGCATTCCTCTAAAGTTTTTAGATGTAATAAGTTGTCATTGATATACTAACCAGCATAGGCCAAAGGTCTCTGTTTTCAGAAAGTTTGGAACCACAGAGACCTGACAAAGTAATAGGATATTATACTAGCTGATATTGAATTGTCAAGAGACAATTCAACTGATCACTTGAAGAGACAAAGGAACTCCCACACTATTTTTGGGACATGGTTGGAATGTTGAGGGAAGATGAAAAGGCTATTATAGCTTCCATGTCAGCTACCCCCAGAGCTTGCTTCAAAGAAGGGCTCACAAATGTGAACAATTGTGACAAATCTGTTTAGTAAATCCCTGGCAATATTTAGAAGAGTCTATTGTATGATCTTCTCCAAGGCAAAAAGCACAAAATTTATACATATACAGCATGGTTTGAAATCTGTTTTCAAAATGCTGACATTTGTGAAATTAAACTTTAGGGTTGAAGGTCAACTGGCCTGCAATGGGTGGTTGAGGGTGTCCTGAGTATCAACTCTCCAACAAGGTCTTTTGGAGAACAGTTGGAACAAGTCAAAGAAAATAAAGTAATTTAAGAACTTAAATAAGATAGTATTGAAAAAGAATCTGAGCTCAAGGACAAATATGCTATAGTAGTAAAAAAGAAACAGAAATCATTCACTGAAAGAAACACCTCATTGTGAGATTCACATGGAAAGCAGGGCTCCTGCCAAACAATTTTATAATCTCTATATTTCTGTATATTAAAGAATAAAAGTATCTGGATTAGAATAAATTCACCCAAAGAAGGAGAACCATGGACAAGTCTTTCCAAAAGAAACATTTACAAGGAGGCATGAAATACAGGTAATCCTCGTTTAACAATGGTAATTGAGACCAGAATTTCCATCACTAAGTGATACAGCATGATGTCATGTGACTGCATCGCTTAGCAACAGCAATCTCTGCAGTCCTCATTGCCATCGTTAAGTGAGGATTGCAGGTTGCTAAGCAAAGACCTCTTTGCAACTTCTTGCTGGCTTCCAACAACCAAAGACAGTGGGGAAGCTGGCAGGAAGTTGCAAGCAGGCAGGCAAGTGGCATGCACGTTTTTGGGCCTAGGGGTGGCTGCTGCCAGGTAGGATACTTACCCAAACAAATTGCGATCTTCCCTACTGACTTTGACTTTGCTTGTGGGAAGCTGGCAGGGAAGGTCGCAAATGGTGATCATGTGACCATGGGGCACTGCAACTGTTAAGTACAAGCTGGTTGCCTAGTACCCAGATCATGATCATGTGACCACAGGGGTAGTGTGATGGCTGGAACTTCAAGGACTGGTCATAAGTACTACTTGTTCAGCACTGTCACAACTTCAAATGTGAATGTGGCTGAATGAGTGGTTGGTAAGTGAGGACTATCTGTAGCAGGATGCTGGACTTATTATTCCAACATTAGTTGGGAAGTGAACACCGCAAACAGAGTCTTTCCAGAAAATTTCTAACTAATGGTGCCCAACAATTTTTTCTTTCCGAGAGTGAAGCAAGGCACAAGAGGAACACATATTCTTGATTTAATTCTAATCAACAGGGAAGATTTAGTTGTGGAAGTTCCAAGTACATTGTGGGAAAGCGACACATAATGCCAGAATTCTTAATTTAAGAAACTGAGTCAAACATATATCCTTGACTTTAAAAAGCAGATTTGAATAAACTTAGAACTATGTTAACTAGGATTCAATGGCAGGAAAAGCTAGAAGGGAAAGGATCCTGAAGGAGATACTAAAAAGCAGATCTGCGAACAACTCCAGTGAGGAAAACAATGAAAGACAGCAGAAAGTCAAACTGATGGCCTGGAAACAAAAATTGGATACTTCCAGAAGGTGGAAAAAGGGTCAGATTACCAAAGAAAAGTACATACTGGTAACAAGGAACTACAGAGCTGGTGTGAGGAAAGCTAAAAGCTCTCTTGGTTTCTAGTCTGAAACCACTACATCAAACTGGCTCTTGATATTTAATGTTAGTCCCATTTTTTCAGTGTTCCTTGATTTTCATTGTTTGCAGATGATTTGCATTTTCGGCTATAGTCTGAACAAGTAGTGTCATCAGCATAGCACAGGTTATTGATATTTCTTCCTCCAATTTTAAAAATGTGTATCTTCTTCCAATCCAGCTTCCCTCAATATATATTCAGCATATAGGTTGAATAAATAAGAAGGGAGTATACAGCCTCAGTCTTTTGCCAACCTGGAGCCAGTCTGTTTCATCATGTTCCATCCAGACTAAGGCTTCCCAACCTGGGTATAGGTTTTGTATGAGGACAATAAGGCGTTCTGGGATTCACATTTTTCTCAGGACATTCCATAGTTTGATGTTATTAACACAATTGAAGGCCTTTCTATCATCAGTGAAGCACATATTGATTTCTTTTTAGTATTGTCTGGCTTTCTCAATTATTCAATATGCACTGGCAATAATGCCTTGGGTTCCTCAGCCTTTTCTAAAGCCAGCTTGAACATGTAGTATCTTCCTTGCACATAGGGCTCTAATCTGCACTGGACGATCCTAAGCATTATTTTGCTAGCATGTGAAATTAAGAATACTGTATGATAGTTTGCACTGTGTTAAGTCTCCTTTGGTATTGACATGTAAATTGACCTCTTTCAATTGTTGGTCACTGCATCATTCTACAGAATTGCAGGCATAATTTGATTAGATCCTTTGCAAATTTTTCTTCAGCAGATAAACGTCTCCAAAGCAATGGGAAAACCCTTCCACATTGTTTTCAAAGAAACTATATGAGCATGCTCATGTAATCACCTGGAGTTAAACTGAACTCAAGGGAAACTTCTTTAACATTTTTAGCAGATTGTGGAAATGCTGCACATGATTTTAGCAAAACATTTGGCAAAGTACACCCCCCAGTTTTCTGATGATAAAGACTGCTTGACAGTTTAGTACATACATGGCTGGCCCAAAATTTATAGCAAGAGTGTCCATCAGTAGTTTCACATCAAACAGGAAAGAGGACAAGTGACAACTTCTGTCTTCTAGCTACAGTGGGGCAAAAAAGTATTTAGTCAGCCACCAATTGTGCAGGTTCTCCCACTTAAAAAGATGAGAGAGGCCTGTAATTTACA